AGGCAGGGCTGATGCAATGAAATGCAGACGGGTCTCTTGTGATACAACAGTGAATAATTGTTATCAGGACTGATTGTGAGGGTCAGAAATGTAAAGGTAGACGTTTTATAGCAAGGAGGGGAGTGATTAACTTTTCAGTCTAGTAGCGGAGGTCCCTAGGACCATTAAGGGAGAAGAGCAGAGAGCGGGACCCTACCCAGAGAAGCAGTGATGCCTGAAATGGAGCCAGAGATGAGGACGTGGAGCGATGGAGCAGCTGGAGACTTTAGATCTAGAGAGGGAGAGTGACTAGGGGGTACGGAGGAAGAACTGCATGGAGGAGATTGTAACCATGGCAATGAGACGATATATGATAGAATGAATGTAAAACTAATGTTCTTCCATGTAAACTATCACATAATTCACAATAAAACATTTAAGAAAAAAAAACCCACCAGAAAATAACAAATGTCGGGAAAGTAGAACCCTTATCCATTGCTAGTGGGAAATGTAAAACAGCATGCTAGTTCCTCAAAAAACCAGAAATACCACGTAACCCAACAATTCCACTTTTACATATCTCTCCAAAGGCTTGATAGCAGATGCTCAAAAAGATACATGTACACCAGTGTTCACTGCAGGACTACTCACAATCACCAAAAGGTGAAAACAACCTAAATATCAACAGATGAATGGATAAACCAAATGGATAAACGTACAGTGGAATACTACTCAGACAGGTGGAGAAATGAACTCTTGATACATACTACAAAATGGATGGGGACTTCAGACACGATACTGACAGAAATAAGTCAATCACAAAAGGACAAATATTATATGAACTCACAAATAAAAGGACAAGAAAAGGTAAATGTATACAGACCAGAGTTTATTAGTGGTTACCAGGGGTAAGTTATTAAGTACCGTGGAGTCGGTTCCAACTCATAGTGACCCTGCACTGGGTTTCTGAGGCTGTAAATCTTTATGGGAGCAGAACACCCCATCTTTCTCCTGTGGAACTGCTGACCTTGAGATTGGCAGCCAGACTTGTAACCACTATACTACCAGAGCTCCTACCTACACTGGGTTATATGAAGAAAAACGTGGCATCATGATTGGAGGAAGACTCATTAACAACCTGTGCTATACAGATGATACAACCTTAAAGTGAAGAGGACTTAAAACATTTACTGATGAAGATCAAAGAGTACATCCTTCGGTATGACTTGCATCTCAATGTAAAGAAAACAAAAATCTTCACCACTGGACCAATAAACAACATTCTTTATCAACTGAGGAGAAAAGATTGACGTTGTCAAGGACTTCATTCTTCTTGGATCAACTATCAACACTCACAGAAGCAGGAGTCAAGAAATCAAACGACCTACTGCATTAGGCAAATTTGCTGCACAAGACCTTTTTAAAGTATTGAAGAGCAGAGATGTCAGCTTGAGGACTAAGGTGTGCCTGACCCAAACTATGGTATTTTCAATAACCTCAAATGCATGCAAAAGCTGGACAGTGAATAAAGAAGATCGTAGAAGAATTGATGCTTTTGAGTTATGGTTTTGGAGGAGGCTATAGAAAGTGCCATGGGCTGCCAAAAGAACCAATGGATCCGTTTTGGAAGAAGTGCAGCCAGAGTGCTCCTTGGAGGCCAAGATGACTAAACTTGTCTCTCATACTTTGGACATATTGTCAGATGGAACCAGTCACTGGAGAAAGATATCATGCTGGGTAAGGTGGAGGGACAGAGAAAGAGAGGAAGACCCCCAAAGAGATGGACTGGCCAAGTGGCAGCATCGATGGACTCAAGCGTGGCAACAGTAGTGAGGTTGGCCCAGGATACGGCAGTGTTTTGTTCCGCTATGCAGAAGGTCATTATGAGTTGGTACGAACTCGATGACACCTAACAACAACAACAACAACAACCAGGGGTAAGAGGGAAGGAGGAGTATGTGTGGGTCAATGGTGGACAAAATCACACTGATTAGGTGTAGGGTTGTACAGCTGATTATAATTGCTATCAGTAAGTTGTATATTTGTCAAAAGTTGAATCAGTAAAAGTTGTGTGATAGATACATTTACAAAAAAAAAAAAGTAGCTGCTGAGGCTGCTTATGTTCAACCAAATACCTCATGGGATTTGGTGTCCTGGTCTGCAGATTTAAGATCATGATTTCATGGAACATTCCAGTTAATTGGCCTAAGGTAGTGTCTAGTGCTTATGTTCTACCTCCTAGTTCATTACATAGTGTCTGAGGTCGTAAATGCTTGGAAGTGGCCAACCAAAATATAACAATTGGTCTCTGTTTTCCTGGAGCAACAGAGGATGAAGTAAAGTCAAGAACAGGAAGAGGATATGTTATGTGTAGCTAATTGCCTTTATTAACAACTGCCTCCTTTGCCATGGGACCAAAAGAACTGGATGGTGTCCAACTGCCATTACTGAACATTTTGGTCCAACGTTACCATAGGAGAATTCTGATCAAAAGAGGGAAAATGTAGAACAGAATTTAAAATTCCAAACTTGGTGGAATCGTGGTGGGTAGATGGTCCCCTGAAACTACTGCTTTGAAATAAATCATTAAAGTTGAAACCTAAAATACCCCCTGAAGTTATCTAGCAATTGAATAAGTTTAGCTTAACCAGTATAAAAGGTCTGTCGTGAGCATCATGCTCTTTTAAAACTATCTATGTGGGATCAATTGACAAAAGCAACTTGAAAGATTAGACAGTAACCTTTGATGGTGGGGATGAATTTATGGTAATGAAGGAGAAAAGATACAGAAAGGGACGGTGAGAATGATTGTACTACTTGAAGAATGTAATTAATATCACTAAACTGTACATGTAAAAATTATTGAATTACTATATGTTTTGATGTGCATATTCTTAACAAGAATAAAGAACAATTATTCTGACAAGAGTTTTCTAGCATGTCATCAGTATCTCCTTCTTCTCTTTTTATTCTTAAGCAACCCATCCTTAAGACTTTCCCTAAAAACTTCACTGATTGGCCAACTAGTTTAATGCTTGCAGCAGGTTAGAATAACGATGTGTGCCTGTTTCTCAAATGGATCAGTTAGCTTTTCTGGTCCATAACAAGGAGCTGTATTCTTAAGCTATTTCTGCAGCTACATGCCACTGAGTTGGTGTTTCCAAGTTATAACTCCCAGGGGTGCAAAACTTTAAGTTGTCAGAGGGAGACCAAAAAACCTGTTTATGTAAAAACACAGATAGACATACGTAACATAAACTAAACAGATATTCAGTATATCTGTGCATTAAGATTTCATGTGTGTGTGTGAGAGAGTGTTATAGTATAACTAATACCCCCCATTTGAAATATTATAGCATAACTAGCAGCCCTCATTCAAACTATATATCCGCTAAGTACCTTCAGCCCAAGTTCACCCTGCTCCCCTCTCTATCCCCCATCACACCCAATGGAAAAACAATAAATAAACTTATTACAGAAAAACCGGGAAGCCCAGAATGACCCAAGGACACCTGAACAAACAGGATAAAACTTAGCCCATCCGTACAAACAAGATAAGGGTTTATTGGTGGGTTTACTCCCACTTACAGGATAAGGGTCTGCTGGAAT